AAATTGGTTACTCTTTCCTTTGCCAAGGCTTTGCTAATTTGAATTTTTCGTATCTTATCAATCGATGAAAATGTTACCAAACATGACTTGTACAGTGGATGTTCTTCTCTCCGCGTGTATTTGTCATTTCTGTTTGATTTTAATTGTCCAAGAAATTCAGCAGCATCAATCCATGCCAGGCAAATACGAGAAAACATTCTCCAACCAAGAAGCAGAACTCAATTATTCACACCCCCAGCCATTTAAGTATGTTGGCCACCTCCGATTTCTACTTGCTTCTATGCAGCAAAGAAAATGTTCGCCCTCATAAATCTTCTACCATTCAACTTAGCATCAATGATATAATCTGATAAGGATCAATTTATTCATATGGGACTTATAGTTTGTGAATTTAAACTGTGAGTCTCTAACATTATTGATGCAATGATTAGGGCTTGACTGGTGGCAGCACTACGGCAGTCAGGACTGGCCAACGGTAGTTCAGTTTCTAAAATTGAAGATAATGGTATTATATATATAAGTAAAAAAAATTTCCTATTTTATGTGGCACATTTTAAATATCTACTTTTTTAAAAAAAAAGAAGAAAGAAGCTACATCAACATATCTTTTTTATTTACATATTCTACATAAACTCAATTTTAATTATAATAACCAGTTTTATATAGATTTTATTTGAGAAATATTTATTTTTTATATATTTAATTATTATGATATTTTATTAAAAAAAATTATCTCGATATATAAATAAATAAATAAATAAAACATAATGTGTTTAATTATGTGCATTGCATGAATCAAATTTATTTATTTTTATATATTTATATTTTTTTCTATCTTATTGATGTCTTAATATTAATTTATATTTAATTTTTTTATTTAATATGAAATTATTTGACAAAAAATTTATATTTAATTTAAATTTTATATACCTATATACAATATTTATGAATAATTTAAAAAGAATATTAAAGAAAAAATTAATACTTTACCAAATTAATTTATGTATTTTCTTCTCAATTCAATCACAACATATTTATATTTACCAAATAAATATAAAAATAAATAATTAGAATCACTTTTAGTTTTATATTACTAATTTATTTCTACTCTAATTACTATTTTTAATGTCAAAATGAGTGTTTATTTTATATCTTATAACTTAATATAAATCATATAAAATTATTATATGATAATTACAGTTTTATAGTGCTATAGAACTAAAATTATCAAAATCAACAAATAATTTAACAAAATTTATTATATATAAGTATTCAAGTAATATTTTTATAGAACGATAATATTAAGATTATTAAAATAAATAATTAAAATTAAAGTTTTATTTTATTTTATTTTAAATCAAAATTAATATTATTCTTTCGTAACACATATCATAAAATAAAATATTATTACATTAATTATAGTTAACTCCACTGTAACTTTATGTCGGACATCATATTTCTAAAAATGATTTACACACACGTGTAGCGTCCAATTTGATACTGATTGATTAAAATAATAGAATTCAATACTTTTTTTTTTTGGTTAAGTTTTTAAAAGATAAATTCACAAATGCCAAATGATAAACATTGTAGTGTATTATTTTAAAGAATAATGATTCATCGAAAATGATTGTGTATTTTTAAGCAACTATTAACATTTCTTGAATCATTTTTAAATAAAAAATTTGAATTTATAGTATTACTGATAATATACTTTCATGAGTTCTGCCAAAAAAGATATGTAAAAATAATTTGTCTAGAATAAAAAATTTACGGTTGTTATGATACGTCACATAATTAATCGAAACCCCAAAATTGACATTATTAAGGTTATAAAGATTTTGTGCATGATTCCCTTGATGACACTGGGGATGGCAATATGAACTCGGCCCGACAGGGACTCGGACCGTCCTGTCCTGATAAATAGGGTTTTTCCTGAAAATTATTCCCCATAGGGCCGGGGCTGGTATTGAAAAATACATCCCCGATGATTTTCGAACCGAGGACGGTGATAAGGTCTCCAGGCCCCAGTCGCAGCTCGATACGGGCCCTAAATTTCCCCGAAACATCCCGCCGTTATATATATATATATATATGTGTGTGTGTGTGTGTTTAGGCTTAATATTATATATCTCTCTCTCACTCTCTGACTCTCTACTCTCTCAACTCTCTCATTCTCTCTCTTAACTCTCATTGTCTCAACTCTCTCTTATTTTCTCTCGTCGATCCTCCATGGCCATTAGCCTTCTTTGTCGCCGATCCTCCATGGTCTCCTCCATCGCCGATCCTCCACTCCATGGCCTCCTCCGTCACCTCTGCGACTACCGACTGTGAGATCTAGATTCAAATCAAAATAGAGTTTTAATCATGACTGTTGTTTGTTGATGATTTTTTCAGATCTTCAGATTTTTTTTTATTTTTTTGTTCTTGTGTTGAACAAAATTATTAAAAAAAAAAAAAAGTCAGGGTTTTTTTGGGGTCGGGGAAACCCGATCCCTGTTAGAGGGGCGGGGTTGGGGGGTGGTGACGTCCCCCCGGGGATCGGGGGCAGGGACTGGGAATTTTTTACCTTCGGGGATCAGGGACGGGGAGTGTAATCCTGGGCCCCACGCCGGCTCGTTGTCATTCCTAGATGACACTGTTTAGGATTTGAATTTGTAATTTTTTATGTATCAATGTGAATAACTCTTACAATTTCACTGATATAAGTATAAATCCTACCTTCGAGTTAACTCATCTTAAACACTTTTTTGTATAATAAAAAACTTAAATATTGTCACATAAAAATATTATAATATATCATAATCAATCATTACTTGAAACATAATTAAAAACTTGATGTACCACTTTAGACATAACAAAAAATATAACTAAAATAATACATCGGACTAAAATATAAGAAATAAAAGTATGAGTTATAATCAAGTCATAATTTGTGTATTATAGAATTTTTCGTCATTTTTTTTTTCAAAAAAAAAAAAGTATTTTGATACAAGAGGAATTTATGATTTTTGGTAAATTTGATTAATACAAATAAAGATTTGATTTCAGGTTAAAAATATTTTTTTTAAAGTTTAAAAGAAATTATTTTTATGAATTTTTTACGTAAGATCACACACAATGTCAAAAATATTAATCAGCCATTAACAAATTTGTTTATATATGATTTTCAATTGTTAAAATTTTTTACACCAAGCGTTAAGACTCAAAATTAATTTTTCATTTTAAAACATACTAATTTTTCTTATAAATTTCTAAACGTATGCACTGAGAAAAGATGAATACTTCAATCCGGACAAGCATGGAAGATAGATCGATGAAAGGAAGGAGAAACAGTTGATTCTAATCCAAAAGGGATAATCATTTCAAAGAATAACAATTAGCCTGGGTGATTTTTGAGACAGAACAATTATGTCATTAAATCCTTGTGGAAATCACCTAACATCTCTATATATTGAACAAAATTATTTGACAATTGCGTAAAAACTCAAGCTCCAAAAACGTAACTTTGTACAATTACATGAACATATATCTATATATATAAGAAGAGTACTATTACTTTATCTCTTTACATTTTTCATAGGATAAATTACACTAATAGTCCTTATAGTTTGGGATTTGTATTACTTTGGTCCCTCACTTTTCAATTATGGCACATTTGATCCTGAATTTTGAATCTTATTTCAAATAAGGACAATTGAAGATATCAGTAGATTTTTCAAGGATAAAATCATTAATTTGATAAAATATAAACTAATTTGACAAAAATAAATGTCAAACAAATATTTTTGAATTTTTAAAAATTATTTCTACCCACTAAAAATAAAATTATGTAAAATTGATAAATCTTTTAGACATTTTTTTTTACCAAATTAATTTTTATTATGCGTTTGGATGATGATCATGTAAAATTAATTTTTAAAAACTAATCATGTAATTTTTATTAATTTTACATAATTTTATCATTAATGGATAAAAATAATTTTAAAAAAATTAAAAATATTTTTTTGACATTTATTTTTGTCAAATTAGTTTATATTTTATTAAATTGACAATTTTGCCCTTGAAATTAAACAATGGTATCTTCAATTGTCCTTATTTGGAACAAGATTCAAAATTCATGGTCAAATGTAAAAGTCACGAGTCCTAAATTATAGGGACTGTTAGTGTAATTTGCCCTTCTTCATATGAGATTTTTTTTTTTCAATTTTATCCATATGTGAAATTACCTTTAAGGACAAAATACTAAATTAAATATATTTTATTATTTCTTTACACCCATAGTCTTCAATCCCTACTTCTCTTTTTCCTTTCTCAATTTGTCTTCTCTTTTACACATCTCTTTTCAAAAAGTGAGAATCATGATATTTTGATTATAGAAAAAAACAATGGATAAAGAAATCCTCAAAAAAGTGAAATGGTGAGTTTTTTTTATTTATTTGGTAGGTTTTTGTTTCATTTTTTCTAGATTGTTCTTCAACTTTGGTTCAGCATTTTGAAATCGAACAAAATAAAATAGTCCAGTATTACATTGCCGAACAAAAAATATATTTCTTGTAACCAACTACCGAATAAAAGATACATTTTTGATAACCCAAGGCCGAATTTTTTTTATTTGTTTAGCTACTAAGTATCGTGTATTTCTAGTTTCATTTTTTTATTATATATTTTCTATTTTTTTGCTTTGGAGGATTATACTTCTACTCATTGCAATAATGCAAGTACTACATTATTAGCGAACTCCAGTCATGAATTCATTGCAGAAGAGGTCTGTTAAGTTTTTTTATGAATACGATTTTTTCTTATTTTTAATTTATATTGAGTTTTATTAATAATTTCACGTAAAATATATTTATTATCTTTAAATTTTTATTAGTCGTCAAACATTAATTAAATAGGTTTTTGATGTTAGGAAGAAAACTATATTTGTCATTGTTATAAAAACATCAAATACGGGAGGTAATGACAGAAAACCAACCCTTACACTTGAGCTGCATTCGAATATAGTGCACTACGTGCAACTATTTAGTTCACAGGAAAGGTTTTAATAACCTTACCTCTATCTTATCCTGCTTCAAACCTAGCCCTGGATTTAATCATTGGATGACTATGTCCCCACATAGGCCATTTGATAGTATCATACTACCGAGTCGTTCTTTATCATTTATCCATGCAACAGTGCTTGACGTTTCTACCAGTTAGATCAGTACCGATTGCAACACCTGATCAAAGAGATATCTGCATAGGATTTGAAAATGAAAACCATTTCGTGCAGGTATAAACTACCGAGCCTACTTAGATCATCACTATGTCTTATTTTGTAATTCTAATTATTGATATCTTTGTTATAGGTTTACCTACAACCTGGTCATCTAGTACCTCTGATAGCAAATAATTGGATTCATTTTCATCACCCGTGTGCTAGTGGATGAGAGAAAGCATATATTACTCATATTTATCAATTCCGCATGTTTGTCAGCTCTGGTGCAATAACTACCAAAATATCGATATAGACGAATTGTGATAACATTTTTTATTAATGGATGCAAACAATGACAAATTTTATGAATGTTCGTATACTTGATATTTTTATGAATACTTTTTATGTATGATTTTATGAATGCGTGTTTGATTTATGAATTTTTTTATGAATACTTGAAGGAAAAAGTAAATCTTTCAACGTACAGCGACAGGTAGCTAAACAAATCTATTATAGTTTGAAAATATGACATTAGAATAATCTAGTTTGTATAGCAATGTATCATCGAATATACACTTCACAAGTGGCCTTAGATTAATTTCTTATTATCATCAATCGAACGGCAACATATTGTTGGAGAAAAAAAGTTTGTCTAGTAACATAGCATTGGATTAATTCAAATTCATTAACGTTGTATTGCCAAATAGGTGTAACACAAATTTAAAAGTCATTGTTTGGAAGAAGTGACTGTGTAAATGTATAGCAATAAAATGCTAGAGAAATCTATTTTTTTCGGCAATATGACACCGGAGGAATGTAAATTGTTTAGTACTATGTGACCGAACAAGCACTTTGTTGTGGGCTCCACTCACTGTCTTCCCTACGTCTTTCTCTTTTCCCTTGCTACATTTTTCTCTGTTTCCTTATTTTCCTTCCAAAAATTATTGATGTAAAAAGATGAAAGAACTTTGAAAAGTCTTACTTTAAGATTAATTTTGTTAATATAATAAGTATAATAAGAATCTTATTTTCTTTTTAATGGTGCATTGAGATAAAAGATATAAAGAGATAAAATAATAATATAAATAAAATCACTCGTATAAGAATTGATTTGCTTAATCCGGCCGTCTTTTTCTGGACGATTGTGCCGTCCCCTTTTCTCTAATTTATCGTATGGAACAATTGCCTCGTGTGTTGACTATTATTATTTATTCTGTCCATATTGCACAATTGTTCTCAACACCACAATTATTAATTTGTACAAAAGAGTTAATTTCACTAATGCTATAACTTTTATGTTGGTTAGTCACGCTATGTTGATTGAAAGATTTAAAAAGAGATTTAAAAAAAAAAGAAAAATATATATGAAATTAAATAAAATATAATTATATTTTATTCATATTTCACTTATTTTTTTCATTTTTTTTTTCCAAATCCTTCTTCAAATTAGGGGTTTGTAGGGCCTAACATGGATCATGTTCTCATAATCCAAATCGTTTATTTTGTAAGATATTTAATATACATCATTCATAAAAAAATAAGCCAATTTAATAATTATAATATTTTTATTTTATTATATTTTACATCAAAAAATAGATGGTCTATTTTTAAAAATATACTTCTCAATTCATTTTTTCTTTAAACGTATGCGATAAAATAAAAATATTACAATTATCCAATCAATCTAATTTTTTTTAAAGATATAATATACAAAGAATAATGCTATATAAAATGAATGATTCATATCATCAAAATAGGATCCATGAGCCCCTAAAGTTCTCTCAAGTTGATTTTTTTTTTTAATTGATATATAAATATGAAAGAATTCAAATAATTTATTTACTCCTTTATTTTCTCTATTTAATTTTTTATATTGACATATTAAAATTATATATAAATTTTATATTGTTTTAAATAAACTTTAGACTCAAAAAAAATTATTTTAATGTTCACTTACAACGTTTCAACTTAAATTGTTAATCTTGAAATGACACTTTTAAGACTAGAAGGTAGCATGTAGTAGTAGTTCTTTCAACAAAAAACAAAAAAATATATAAAATTAGGTAAAATATAATTATATTTTATTCATATTTCACTTATCTTTTTTATTTTTTTTTCCAAATCCTTCTTCAAATCTCCTGACCAAACACAGCATTAAGGATTGGGCTTAGAGGTTTGTAGGGCCTAACATGGATCCTGTTCTCATAATCTAAATCGTTTATTTTGTAAGATATTTTATATACATCATTCATAAAAAAAATAAGCCAATTTAATAATTATAATATTTTTATTTTATTATATTTTACATCAAAAAATAGATGGTCTATTTTTAAAAATATACTTCTCAATTCATTTTTTCTTTAAACGTATGCGATAAAATAAAAATATTACAATTATCTAATCAATCTAATTTTTTTTAAAGATATAATATACACAGAATAATGGTATATAAAATGAATGATTCATATCATCAAAATAGGATCCATGAGCCCCTAAAGTTCTCTCAAGTTGAATTTTTTTTTTAATTGATATATAAATATGAAAGAAGTCAAATAATTTATTTACTGCTTTATTTTCTCTATTTAATCTTTTATATTGACATATTAAAATTATATATAAATTTTATATTGTTTTAAATAAACTTTAGACTCAAAAAAAATTATTTTAATGTTCACTTACAACGTTTCTACTTAAATTAATTTTGAAATGACACTTTTTAAGACTAGAAGGTAGCATGTAGTAGTAGTTCTTTCAAACCTACAAAATTGAGTTGCTAATTGATACCAAAAGATGTCAATTTTTTATTTTTTATTTTTTATTTTTTTCATTATTTTAATGTCAGGACCTACAAAAGAGTTTAAAAAAAAATTTAAACGAAAAAAAGAGGGGATAAACAGAGTATTCTTTCGGAAATTATTCTCAAATGAGGACATAAAGAAGAGATCTAATTTACCAAATTGAATCTCTTTTGGATATTGGTTACCCTAGGGCTTAACTATATATAAAATGTAAGCAATTATTAATGGTTAGGGTTACTAACAAACACAACACCATGCATTCTCAGGTTAACCTATCGATTGATACATGTGCATCAAAGTATGAAGAAACAAGATTTAGGTTCTTATTGTTAACAACAAGTTCTTGCTAATGATTCTAGCAATCATCCTACATATCAGCAGATGGGAAGAACAAAAAACACTAGAGAGAGATGCACAATGCAGACAACACACTACTATATTTACAAGCATTCAGCTCAGTGGTTTTCAAACTGTAAATACCATCACTCGACTGGCCAACAGGTTATTGTCATCGTTTTCATCATCATCTAGTATCCTCCGTGAATGAATGCATTCAAGCGGTTCAACTCATCTCGATGCTCACTCACCACAGCTCGAACCACATCTCCAATTGACACCATTCCTATCATTTCCTTGTCATCAATCACTGGAATGTGCCTGATGCGATTATCTGTCAACCAACAACAACGTCCCAAGCAATATTAGATTCCTTTGATTTAAAGTCGTGTGAGAAACATTAATAAAGCGATATTTTGTACCTGTCATCAGTTGCATTGCCTTCAGAACTTTGGTATTCGGTGTGACTGTGATGAGCTTGTTCTGCAAGCACCACGTAATACATGCAAAGCATTTGCCATCACAAGTTTACAGATTGTACATGGATGTATAGAAATAAACGAAGGGATTGGAAGACGGATAACAAAGAACAATCCATTCTACCTCCTCAGTCATGATGTCCCCAACTTTGGTTGACTTGGATGATCTTCCCTGTACTATGATCTTCCTGAGATAATCTGGAACAAATTTGTCAAATTAGACAACCATTAACTTAAACAATTGCAATTTTACCACATCAATTATGGGTTGCAGCATGTGCCAGTGTCAATTCATGTAATTACATAAAAACAGGGGTGGGGGAGAAAATAGCTCTCTGGCAGCTCTAGGTATGTGCATTATAATTCATAGTTCTTAATGTTTTTGGTCCAAAAACCAAACCAAACTATTAATTTCTTCATCATTGACACTAACATTAGCGGCTAAACTGATACAAAGAGATAGTTACTACCAGTTCCACTGAGATATTGATTACAATTTTGTTCCAGAACCTGTATTTTTGCTCATCAAGTTACTATCCGTTCTTAAAACTATAGATTGGACCTTGAGAAATAAGTGGAATGTAAGTCAGAGTTGGCAAACATCATATTTTAAAAGAAAGCAACTTCCTACAACTCCAACAAAGTGAAAAAGAAAATTTTGCTTCAAACATATCTAGTTATATGCCATGGATTCAACAAAAGATTTCTCAATTACCTCTCTCTGTGATAATCCCAGCAATTGACTTTTGCTCCCCAGGTTTTACAACAACTAACGCTCCAACATTGTGGCTTGTCATCTGCAATGGATAAGATTTACATGCTCTTAACATCAAATTCTTGTCAAATTAGCAACAATATGCACAAAAGAAAATTGATGATTCATTACCGATTTCACAGCATCATAAACAGTGTCTTCTGTAGCACACCAAAGCCAGGAGCCATCTGCACTTTTACCCTTAGCTTTCAAGATGTCTGCAATGGTGGTGCTTTCAAAACCAGCATCTTCCAAGCGAGCAGAAGCAACTGACTCATAGCGAGGGAAGAAAAGTGGGCGCATTACTGGATTCACCAAGCGGATATGTTGCAGGACAGCATGTTTGAGGACGTTCCCATGAGACAGCACTTTGTGGATTCCCCCTAGCATTTTGTCACCTGTTTCAAGATAATTCTTCATCGACAATTCAAGGGCATCAATATTGTTTTCAAATTCTCCTACCAAATGATTCTATTTTACAAGTGAAGAAGCAAGGGCCCCTTATAACACACAATTACTTTTCCAATTTGCCTAGTGGGAAATGCACCCCCAGAAATGCTACCCCCCTTCTTTTCACAAAATAAAAACACAATTCTGTTTCCTAAGATGACAGTGAAAACTTTGGCTATTGGATCCTATGTCCCAATATTTCGTTGTCCCAATATCCCAATACACTCCCAATCGCACGATGTATCTCATCAAAAGACTTGAAGATTGAGACACAATCATGCGACTGTGAGTGCATGGGGGCACAGTATTCGCAAAATTTTCTTTTACAAAGATAGTAAAAAGCCATTTTTTAACTTTTAACATATTTTGGGTCACATCACTTCTCTAATTTTTTACACATTTTTCCACAAAAGAAAAAAAAAAAGAAAAAAGCCAAAATGTCAGCTTTTAACCAACTTCTCAAAACAACCCTTTAAAACTTAGGCTGCTTTTGATTCAAGATTTATGAAGGGAAAGAAAAGAAATGAAAAAATTGAATAAAACTTTTTCTTTTTTCTTTTTCCTGTCCCTTCACAGATTTCACAGATCATATATGGCTTAGGTTGTGTTTGGATCATAAGATATGAAAAACAAAAGGAAAAGGCGATAGAAATGGTACAAAAATTTAGGTTAGATATCATTCACATCTCTCAAACTTTTTATTTTATCTTCCCAAATACAGTATTAAAGCATCTCTGGTAATGGGATACGAATCTCACAATCTTGAAACATAACCTATAATCACCAGAATTGAATTATTTGCCCTTAGACTTAGGCCTTGTTTGTCATCTCTTAAAAAAATCAAAAAGTCACTATCCTATTTAAGTCACATCCTCTTATTTAAGTCGCATCACTTCTCTATCAAATCACTTCAAACACAACCCATATTTTACAAAAAGTCAAGTGCACTTATTTATAACATCCCAAACAATCCCTTAGTGCTATAAGTTATTTATGCAGAAGTGATAGAGAAGTAGAGCACTAAATTAAGTTTTACTTATGTGACAAAGAAAAAAAAAACAGAAAAACAAAACTGACACATCACATCAATTTTTTGTTTGTTTGGTTGTATATTTTGAAAGTAGTTTTGAAGTTTGGGATGATTTGATATTTTGTTGTAATTGAGTAGATGTGTGTGAGAGAAAAAGTAATTGAGAAGGAGAGATAAAAGAGAAAAAGTGATTGATTGATGTGTAAGAGAGAGAAAGAGATTTTGAAATTTTTTTAAGAAAAATCTCAAACCAAACAATTTTTTGAAATTTTTTTTCTAAAACTCATCTATAAAACTCAAACCAAACATACCCATATTTTTAATTAGGTTAAAATAATAATCAAAAAAACTAATCAAAAATCATTTTATTTTTTCTTTCACAGCCATCAAACCAATTATAATATATATATATATATATATATGTGTATATATATATATATCTTCCCAAACGCAAAAATTTTAGCAATATTTTTAGACAGATTAAAATAACAAAAAAAAAAATTATAGGCAAAACTATAGGCACCGTTTGGGAAGAAGAATATAGAATATGGAGCTTTTTTGGCTATTTTAGCCACAAAAGACAAAATAAGTTATTTTAGTCACAAAAAACAAAACATCACATTCAACCCATAATCATTACACCCTTCTCCCACAAAAAAAAGTCAAAAAACTAAAAAGTCCTTTCCAAACCAGCTTTTTAGCCTAGGCTAAAATAGCCAGAAAAGCCAAAAAGCCCCCCACTTTCCAAACCAACCCTAACTAACTAAAATGGAACTTCCCAAACGAAGGCAAGAATAAGGCCTCGCTTTAGCGTTTAACCTGAGTTCTGAAAATTTCTTCAACCGCTATAATATATATATACTCCCTCTATCTCAAAATAATAGTTCCTTTTGGGAATCAACTTTTTTTTTTAATAGTACAATTATTGCACTTTAAAAAAGTTAAATTTTCAAAATTATCCTTTTGATAATAATTTGGAATATCAATATCATAATTACACTTTTTATATTGTTTATTAATTTAAAAGAATGACGAAATAGAAAAATTATATTATTTTTGTACTTGATTTTTGAAGACGAACTAATATTTTGAGATAATAAAAAATAGAATAAAAGGCTAATATTTTAAGACGGGGGAGTATATATATATTTTTCCCATGTAAGTTACAAAGACGCTTCCAGTTTTTCAACTCAGAGATCAGACAAGGTAAAGTAAAGTGAGTAAAGAAGAAGGGAAAAAAAACTGGAAAACACTTTCAATTACACAAATTTAGAGAAATTATCGCAAGAAAGTGTTTCTCAAAATTTCCTCCATACGCCTCAGCACAAAATTCAAATCATCAACTCGATAAGAACACTTCAAACAAATATATCAGTTTTCAACATCAATTCTTGTCGAACATATCTCAAATTATTCAACTCGCAAAAACAAATCTAAAGAAACCGCATCAAACAATAACAAGAACTACACATATACATATAGAAAGCTTTGAAGAAGAAGGAGGAGGAGGGAAAGGAAGCTTCACCCGATCTGAGATCTCCACAAAGTCCCACACTACTACCCAGAACAGAGCAGAGCAGAGTAGAGAGAGGAGGCAAGGTGGGGTTATATCTTTCCTTTCCTGCCTCTCCTCAAGTTTATCCACTACCAAAATCACGGTCACTTCACAAAATGGGTTGTGATACTCTGTGCCATTTTGGGAACATGGTAAAAAGTCACGTTTTTGGACAAAATGTCCAAAAATGTGGCTGCCAAAAACGCCAAAAAAGTCATTTGGCAAGTGCTAAAAACGCAGCTCTAAAATTACAAATTAGGGCCTATGAAAAATAAATAAAAAAATAACTCTCTTATGTTGGGTAAGGGTATTTTGGTCATTTTAGTTTGATTTGACACCATAAATAAATATTAAACTAAAAAGCAAAGAGCAGAGCAGAGTAGAGAGAGGAGGCAAGGTGGGGTTATATCTTTCCTTTCCTGCCTCTCCTCAAGTTTATCCACTACCAAAATCACGGGTCACTTCACAAAATGGGTTGTGATACTCTGTATATGTTATGTTCACTCTACTAATATCCTACCCTCCTTCCTATGCAATGTATTGGCTTCCTTTGTGAATATATTATTTTAATATTTTTAATTTTTAGCTTAAAATATGAGATAAAAAAAATTAAAACATGTTGGGTTTGAGTTTTTTGGATTAAATTTTTTGAAAATTTAGTTTTTTGATTTTCATGTTTTTTTGTTTTTAGTGAATATTTTTAAAACAACAATGATTCATCCCACTAAAAACATCACCACTAATAGTACTAATACATTAAAAAAGTAAAAAAAAATAAAATAAAATACAACTCCAAGACCAAAACATCACATCAGTAATGACGGGACTCACTGCCACCTAATTAGTGGGAGCACTAATTAGTGCTCCCAAGCATTTTTCTTTTTAAAATTTTAAATAGTTTTTTTACATTTTTAGATGCACTTTACTCAGATGTATCTAAAAAGTAAAAAATTTGTGAAAAATATTTTAAAAATTTAATAAATACATAAAAATATAAAAAAATGTACTGAATTCTCGTATTTTTTTGTATTTTTTATATTTAGTGAATTTCTAAAAGATTTTTTTCACAAATTTTTTACTTTTTAAGTATATTTATGTTAGGTATGTCTAAAAAAAAAATTGCTTAAAATATTAAATAAATTCAATAAAAACAAAAAAACACGAAAAATAAGAAAATAGAATTTTCTAAAAAGTATTTTTGAAAAAACACAACCAAGCAAGCTGAATAGTATCATTTTTTTAAAAATTTATCTCGCCATAACTTTCCACGACCAACTTTTTTTTTTGGTCGCCAAAGGGTAATCTTCCGTGACCAAAAAAGCCTTTGAATGATTTTTTTATTTTTTATTAAAAAAAATGTGCAAAAAGTAAAGAGAAAAAGAGAATCTTTGACTTTTTTTATTATAAATTATTAGTTTTTTAATTTTTTTAGTGATTTTTTTATTTTAAACTAAAATAATGAGTTGTCAAACGAGGCCTAAGAGCATCTTTGAGTAAATATTTGCGTAAAAATTCTATTTGATACTATGCGTTATAGTGCTAATTTTTTAATTTTTATTAAATAATTGGTTGACCGAGTGAATGTCCGGAGGATGTTCGGGTATGTGTTATAGTGCTAATTTTTTAATTTTTATAAAATAATTGGCTAACTGAGTAAATGTCCAGCAGATGTTCAGGTGGTCGTCTAGCTTGTGTAAATTGACGAAATCTTGAAATGGGCAAATTTGCAAGCCCAATTGACCAGGTCGGTCGTTCGATGTACAGTCTCCAACAACTATATATAGTAATTTGATGAACGATGAAACCTCCCTGAATTTGATAATTTTTTTTATTTTTTCCTTATTTGATATAGTTTTGATGTTAGCCTTAAAACACAAAAAATAAAGACGTTTTATCAAATTTAAATTTGATAGAATATTTGATATAGGTTAGAGCCGCTGTAATAACAATGATCTTATCAAATGGTTTTTAATATTTATTTATTTTTATTAAAAATATATTTAAAAAATCTTTAAATTATTGTTAATGTTATAAAACGTATAATAAATATACTGAAATATATAAAAGTGTATTAATGAATATTAAAATATTAATATCCGTTTCAGATGTGTTAAAAAGGTATATTAATATTAATATATATAAAAATATTTTAAAACATGTAAAAAGTATATTAAAATTATAAGTATTTTGTTGTTTTGTAATTTTTAAAGACAATTATTATGGCCTTTGAAATGTTAACTTTTTGGTTAAAATAATTAAAAATATATAGAGGTGTTTAGTATGTGCTAAAATAACATATAAAATTTTAGTATATTATCTTATTTGGGTTACAATCATCTTATTTAAATTATATTATATTTCTATCATATTATTTCAAATCCAATTCATATTTCACATTTTCTCGTGAAAAATCAAAAAAATATATTTATTTAAATTATCTCAAATATCCCTTAATCGCATTACTCTCTTTATTTTTTTTAATCTTTTCATAAAAAATTAAAATACCAACTAAAATAGTCACCCCTCAAATACTTCATAAGTTATACATAGGCCTTATAAGAACTTAGGGTTCATTTGGGATGTTGATTGGCTTTTTGACTTTTTGATTTTCAAAAATGATAGAGATCCATTTTTTTCCTTGACCCCCACAACACCCCCTCACAGACACATGTCAGTGAGTGATAGTAGGGGAAAAAAAATATAAAAAATAAATAAAAAGTTGGTAAATTCCAATACATTGGGGGTGGTGGGCATCAAGGAAAAAGGGAGTCTCAACCTTTTTTCTTTGATTTTTTGGTTATTTTAGCCTGGGGCTAAAAAGTCTCGTTTAGAATAGGGTTTTTTGACTTTTGTAAGAAAAAAATAAAATGATTATGATTTAGATGTAACATTTTATCTTATTGGACTAAAAAATTTATTTTGTCTTTTTATAAGTATTTTAGCCAAAAAGTCTCATTTTGGCTTATGCCAAATGAAGGCTTAGTTATTTTAGTTTTTTTTAGCATTGTAGCATTTTAGCTTGGTTAAAAAAATTATATTTGAGAATATAGTTAACTATTTTTTTTTTAATGATTGATTTGATGATTGTGAAAAACAAAATAAATATGAATTAAATATTATATTTTATCTTATGAATTATTTTAATCTATTTTAAGTTATTTTGAGAAGATAGTTAAAAGTTAATTTTTTAATTTTTAAATTTTTTTTTGAAAAAATATGTAAAAATTTAAGAGATAACACGATTCAAAATGAGTTAAAAGTTAAAAAATTATTTTAATTATTTTTTTAAAATAATCCTTTATTTTTATTGATTATTTTAGACCAAATAACAAATACCAAACAGGGCCAGTGGTTCTAAGGCTCCGTTTGGCAAGTTGGTTTTTAAGTTTTTTTGGCTATGTTAGTCACAAAAGACAAAATAAGTTATTTTAGTCACAAAAAATAAAACGTCACATCTAACCCATAATCATTATATTTTTCTCTTATAAAAAAAATCTAAAAATTCTTTTTAAATCAAACTTTTTAACTTAAATTAAAAAAATTAAAAAGTCAACTAATTTGCCAAACGAAAGCTTAATTCACGTGGGACAGCAACGTGATCGATATGATATGATGAAGTAAGGAGAATCAATGCTCATCCGCGTCGCATCTGATTCAAAATTCCAAAATTCAATTACAATGGTAATAAAGTACTGGTAAAAGAATAGAGGAAAGTGGGGATAAAAGTGAGTACTGACGATGACGCGGACGGGGGTCATGTGATATAATTTTGGTACAGTCACAGTCAGTGCATACGACAAAGCAACCAAAACCTGTGGGCGCTGAAAATTTATTTCTTCGTAGAGGACACAATGGCTGATTTGAAAAATTGATATCAGAATATTATCAAATAACTTGTCGTCGGCACTTTGGTACAGTGAATAAGTTGACCGAAACTTCATGCCCCACGGCCCACGGGACCGTCCCATCCCATTTTCTTAAAATATGGGAAATACTGGTACTACACTGCCACTTGATACTCCCCATGTCAATTCATGTGACTCTCTCACACCTCCCACACACCTGACAAGTTGCAGTGTTGAAATAATTATCACATAAATCCGTTCTGTGTGATATATTCTATTTTCAAGGATTAGGATGTGTGATTGAATTATTAGTCACACCAGATTAATAATTTATTGTTTGTTTTAAAAGTTTTGCTTTAGATTAATAGTCTCCCTGAACTATTAGTCCCATATTTGTGGAACTATCTTATCCCATGGGGGATAGAAATCATAGAATAACTCATCCCATAAGATTAGACAATGAAATTACACTTTTGCCTTCTAGTATTTAATTATGTATTATATTTAGTAAAATTCAAAAAAAATTAAATGTCTCAATTTAAAAATAAAATAATTTAATTTAATTTTTATTTTTGTTTTTGTTTTATTTATTTAATTTTTTAAAATATTTTTCATAGATATTTTATTGATGTTTTATTTTAAAATTTTGTTTATATTTTATTTAATTTCATTATTTAAATTTAATAGATGTTTTATTTTATTTCATTATTTAATTATTATTATTATTTAAAATAAATTTATTTAAAATTTTAATTAACAAATAACATATATTTTTATTTTTATTTAATTTATTTAATTTTTTAAAAATAAATTTATTTAATTGTGCAAAAAATAAAATAAAATGATTTTTTATATAATCTAGCTAAAAATAATTAAAATAGTATTAAAGTTATGTTTAGTAAATAATTGAAAATGATAAAATAGTCATTTGAGCATTTATCCCTCTCTAACTAAAAATAATCCAATCTAGACATAATCTCATGACTAAACAAACATCCAGTCCAACCAAATAGTTCAGAAATAATGTATCCCACAACTAATAATCCGATGGATTACAATCTCCCTATCCAATCCGTCCAAACAAACGCACCCTAAGAGCAATAATACATCCTCTAATTTTAAAACTAAAATAAAATTCTAATGATGTGACAGATAATAAAAACAAAAAAAAAACAAAAAAACACAAAATCAAAATATCACATTGAAACTCACTCCTATTAAAGCTCATTAGAGCTCAACTCCCAATCATTTTTGTTTTTATAATTTATTAATTATATATCTATTATTTTTTAATTTTTTTTTATATTTTACATAAAACAATTCTTATTATCTTATGAGGGGAGTCAAATTGAAATTTCAAGAAGACAAGATAATTCTTCCCTCTATTGGCAATTTTAGTTATAATTTTTATTTATAACTTCTGAACAAAAATAATTTAAGTTCATATTCATTTTAGTGGTGATTTTTTAATTTATTTTAAATTAATTTTTAATTTATGCATTTAAAAAAAATTAAATAATTGTTGTTTAGTATAAAAAAATATAATTTAACATTTGACTTTTTAACTCATGACAAATAATTTGGTATTTTTTGATTTTTTTTTTTAACCTTTTTTGAAGTAATTCTCTAAATAAATTGAAAAAATTAATTATCTAAAAATTAAAAACAAATATTTGTAGTTTATAATTATTAACTTTCCACTTCAGGAAAATTATATCAAGAGACCCTTTGTCAAATGATGAAAATTCCAGAATAAAAATGAACGGAAAAGCGTCTACGTAATTTGCAACCTTGAAGCGAGTGGTAGTACTAATGAGACATGAGAGGCTCCTCTCCGGTTGGATACCAGGGTGCTGTTGGACCTCCATACGTCTAATACAGAACATACATCGATAATGCAAAACATTTAATATGTAAAACTTGTTGAGTATTTAATTCATATAAAAAATTATATTGATTGAATGTCGATAATTATTTAATCAGATCACATTTGTATAAACACTTTATTTTAAAAATCATACTTACCGTTAATACAAATGTGATCTAATCAAGTGACTATCAATATAAGATCAACATAATTTTTTGTAAAAATGAAATACTCAAGCCCTACACATTAAATTGTTCAGATTATCAATGTGGATTCCGTGGTGGATGCATTGAAGTCTAACAATACCTTCCAATCCGATTTAATCTAAAGAGAAGCTATGGCATGAGAATTAAATTGTCATTCTTATAAAATAATGAGTAACGAGTAATAAGAAATAAAAAAATTCATGATGAAAAATGAAAGAAACATTATTATTTTAATTATATTTATATTTAACAAACTAAATTGTGTATATATAATAAAAGTAATTGAATAATATAATAGACTTGTTGCTTTCCATCCATTTCATTATCAAGAGAGTTTGGTCTCCCTTGCCCCTCAAATATATATATATATATATATATATATGCGTGTGTGAATAAAAATGACAAAAACAGAAAAATACAAACCCCATGAATGGGTCCAATGGGCACCCCGTCCCCATCAAACCTAAGAAGGTGGAGCAAGATAATTTTCTTTAATACAACTGTTGCAGCAGTGTGTAATTACCCAACACCACCTCTACCAAATTATTATATTTTATTCCAAAATCAACACCAATGCTGTTACCATCTTGGTATAATCGCCCAGGGCCGGCCCTCAGATTCAAGCCAAGGCGAACTTTAGAAATAAAACCTATTACACTGAGAAAAAAAAAAATTTATAAATAAAACGATAAGTTACTACTTTTTTATTTGTTTATAATCACAAAAAAATTTATTTACACATATAATCATTAAAATTATAAATAAAAATTTACTTTTATATATTAAGACAGAAAGCAATCATTACAAATATTTTTAAAAAATAAAAATCTAATCTTGTTTCTTTTTTTGAACCCCATGTTCTATTGAACCTATAGTATTTGAACCTTTTTTTTTAATATCTAAAACATAAAATTATATTTGAAACTCCTATTTTTAACCCCTAGTTGGGGGCCCAAGGCGCAGGCCTCTCTTGCCTGCCCTCAGGGCCGGCCCTGTACTTGCCCTACCAATATGATATAATTTAGTGGTTTTGTTTCAATACTACTAATGTAATTTCTTTTCTTTTATTTTTCATACACTGCTATTTGTAAACTTACCCGAGCATACTCTAATCAAATTTGGGCAAATTACATATACACCCCTCGAGGTTTGGTTAAATTACAGATATCCCCTGAGGTTTGAGAAATTACGAATTTCCCCCTGAATGCTATATTTACATAAGAAATTAGGGGTAATTTGTTATGAAATATAAACCTCAGGGGGTAAATTGTTATGAAAATACAAACCTCAGGGGGCGGGATGTAATTTCCGAAACCTCAGGGGGTATCTGTAATTTAACCAAACCTCGAGGGGTGTATATGTAATTTGCCCATCAAATTTCATGATATGCAACAGTAGGACCAAGAATGCTAAATTTTTTCTGGAGAGAGAAAGAGAGAGACTCACCAGTGTTCTTCATGTCATTTACAATTGCGGGGATTGCCAAAAAAACTACCAACAGAAAGAAAATGAGAATTTTCAAACGAGAGCAAGAGCTAATCAAGTAATGGCATCATAATACATTCCGTTTATGTCAAATAGGCCTCAAGTTGATGCAATCAACATCAATTATAAATTTACTCAATTTCCATTATAACGAATTCTACAGCTTTTAAGGGGGGGAGAAGGTGAATAGGAACTCCAGACTGTAAAATCAACTAGGGATGCTAACACTGTTGCAGCAGCTGGTGGTGCTGCCCCGCAAATAATGATACTCCAGATAAAAGTACAAAACTGATTCTTTGATCTGCATAGAAAATTAAAAAAAATGAACCTTGTATGCATGCAGAGTTGCTTGCATTGATGAGCTCAAATCCAAGAACAGCATCCGAGCATTCTATCCTATTCTCCTACTGTCAACCCAAACCCGAATTTGTAGTCTTTCTTCCGGTGATCTATCTGCAAGGTAAAAATGTTAACAATGGTCACAAAATATAAACGCAGGAAGCCAAAAATTGTGCTACTAATTTTTTTTTTTTTTTAAAAAAAGAAACCCATTTGAGGGGTGTTTTTATGAAGAAATACATTTTCTATATCTCCTCTATCTGCAATAATAATAATAAAAAAGTGTTCAATAGACCAAGCTCAGTGGACCAGGCAAATCCTTGGGGGTAACCAAGATCCATAAGGTATGGTCACCAATTTTTATGGAATTCTAGACTTTTGCAATCATGCAGTTACATCCATCAAGGACAGCTCCTTGTTGAACAACCCCTTTACAGCCTTAACACATGCAAGACAGGTAACTAGGGAAAAAAAATAAATAAAACAACCCAATCTATCTTCCTAATTTTAAATTTATAATTAAGCAATCCCCTTAGTAATGAATTCTTTCTAGTTCAATGAAATGGCTAATGTGAAATAGGAAAGAAGACCAAAACCCACCCAATGGGCCAAGGGAAGGAGAGGGAAGAGAAGTAGAAAACATCAGCTGTCAGATGTGATTCTCACCTCAGCAGAAAGAATAAAATTAAGACCCATATTCAAGCGCTCTTCCAGAAAAGCAGCAGTGCAGCCATTGGAATCAATCTTCCCTCTAAGACGGCACTGTAACAAACACATGAAATAAGTAAACGACAATGATAACTAGTTCGAAATCTATTGCTTACGCAGCAAACTTTATGCAAATCTGGCTTAATGTAAAGAAATTCATGGCACGAGAGATATTCACCACTATTCCCACTACCAGGACATAGCATGAATAATAATGCTTTTTCAGAATAGTAATGCTGGTTTAAGAATTGACAACAGTACTAGATAATGTAAAGCAACTCCTGATCCATTCAATTGTTACAAGTTTTCAACAACCATAAATGCAACACCTCACCATCTATGGTCGGACAGATCATACAACGAAACCATTTTTTTTTTTTTTGGGAGGTTTATGCACTAGGCTTCAAGGAGATGAGAACCATTTTTTTTTTTTTGGGAGGTCTTATGCACTAGGCTTCAAGGAGATGAGCAATCAAAGAAGAGTTATTAATTATTACCTAGACTAATCTCTTAAAAAGATAGCAACCAAGTAATTCAGACAAAGATCATCCGGTTCTGGATCCAGTAGACGTAGAAAAATCACATTTTGTGGAAAAGAGAACATTTGAAGTTTGAACTAGTAGCAAAACATAAGTGAAATGCAAACAATGAAGATGCACTCAAGGGATAATCATAATGTTTCATAAACAATGTATATTAGAAATTAGCAATCAAAGAAGTCACCTGTCGGAGAATGTAATCATAACCAAAGCTTGCCGTGACGTCTCTTGACATGTAGTTGTACATGAAGTCTGATGCCAAAGACACCTAAATGAAGGAAAACAGTATGACAACCGAACATTAGTAACAAATCAAAAGAAATCATTGGACGGCTCAACAGTCTTACCTTGTCAGATACTTTTTGAACATAACTCAGAGCAACCATTCCAGTGCTAGCAACTTGCCCAGTAGCAACCTGCAAGGAAAAACATGAATTTGATTCCATTAAATCAGGATCCAGACGGATTTAAAGTAAACCAAAATTCCTAGTATCCATAATTAAAAAAACCAAATAACAAATAAACAAAAACAAAAAAAAAATATTAACCTTCAGGTACAACAAAATAGGTAAATTTTTTTTGATAAATAATAAAATTTTATTGAAAAAGCATCAAGATGATGCACTGAATACAAAAACTGAAAGAGGAAAACAAAACTTGCCTAACCAATTACATCATCCACAAAAATCTAAGAAAGTAAATAGATCAGAATCAACTGTACACTCCAACCAACTATACAAAGTAATTAAGAACTTGTCCTCCAACCACCACACTAAATGCTCAATTCCTTGGAAAAATCTCCTGTTTCTTTCCAGCCAAACCAACCACATCAAATAAAAAGGCACCAACGACCACACCCGTTGTTGACGCCGCCCAACCCGAGCCCCTCTCGAACTCCACAATATGTCCACAACCACCTTTGGTTGTACCCACATAATCCCAAAAAGAGAACAAGTCAGCCCCCAAAGTCGCGAAGCAACAGAACAATGGAGAAATAATGATCAACCGACTCCGCAGCAACATAACACGAAACAACAACGGTTCAATAGCACATGCCCTCGACGAACTAGATTATCAATTGTAAAATTTCGACCTAAGCCAGCCGTCCATAAAAAGAAAACCACCTTAGAAGGAACTCGAGGTACCCAAACACTCCTCCAAGAAAGCGCACCTCCCACCTCCCCCACCAAACTCCGATAAAAGGACCGAACAGAAAACTTACCCTTAGCACCCACCACATTCCAAACTAACACATCTTCCCTCCTACCCAATATAGAAAACCAAACAACTCCCCCAACTGACCCACTTCCCAATCTTGAACTTCATGCTAAAGCTGAATATCCCAAACCACCACCTCCCCACCCCCCAAATAAGAAGCAACCATGGCCTCTTGATCTCTAGCAATGTTAAAAATCAAAGAGAATCGCACCGCCAACACCAGCTCCCCACACCATCTGTCCTTCCAAAATCTAACCTTCTCCCCAGTACCAACCTGAAAATTCACCCCCTCCCAAAACTCCCCCCTCTCCAACCAAATTACTTTCCACAAGCCCTCCTATGAGACCCCATCACATCCCCCGACCACATATTCCCCTCACCGACCCCAAACTTAGAAGCCACCACCCTCCGCCATAAACGATCCCACTCTCCAGCAAATTGCCGCAACCACTTCCCTAACAAAGCTCTATTAAATTGCACCAAACTTCGTACCCCCAAACCACCCACCTCTTTGGGGTGACAAATCCGTCCCCAATCAACCAAGTGATATCTAAAATCCTCTCATCCACACCCCCACAAAAAATCCCTCAGAAGTTTCTCTAGATGCTCAGCCACAGAGACAGGAATAACATGCAATGACATAAAGTAGGACGGAATACTGTTCAGCACACTTTTAATCAACGTCAACCTTCCCCCTTTCGATAAATATTGCCGCTTCCATCCTGCCAAATGACGTTGTACCTACCACCCCATCCCACACCCCTTTTGCCTTGAAACTAGCACTCAGTGGCAATCCCAAATAAGTCACTAGTAGATTTGCCACCCTGCAGCCTAACACCGCCACTAACACTGGCAACCTCCTAACCTTCCCCATCGGAATCAATTCTAACTTGCTCAAATTAATCCGTAAACCCGAAACTACCTCAAAACAAATCAAGACACATCGTAAAAATCCCAATTGCTCTACATCCGCATCGTAGAAAACCAAAGCATCATCCGTATACGGTAAGTGAGACAACCCAATTGCTGTCCCCGGTTGCAAACCCACCGCAAAACCCTCCAACAGACCTTCATGCACAACCCTGAACAACAATCTACTAAAAGCCTCCATAACTAGAATAAATAACAGAAGAGATAATGGATTCCCCTGCCGAAGACCCCGATAAGACAAAAAAAACCTACCGATGAACTATTTACCAAAACAGACATCCGCATTGTGGAAACACAGAGCTTCATCCACTGATACCAGGTTGCCCCAAAACCTATCTGACCCAGAATATATAACAGAAATTCCCAATTAACATTATCATAAGCTTTCTCAAACCAGGCCAACACACTCATTAGCCACCAAAACCGAATTCAAAATTTGTCGCCCCCTACAAAAGCATTCTGGCATTCAAACACCACATCCTGCAACACACCTCGAAGTCGATTCGCCAATACTTTTGCCAACAACTTATACACGCTCCCAAGCAAACACCAATAGGCTTGAAGTCCCTCACATCCTCAAGGCCCCCCCCCCTTTCTTCGAGATTAAGGCTAGGAAGGTCGCATTGAAGCTCCTTTCAAACTGCCCAGTCGTGAAAAAGGCCTCAAACATTGCCATCACATCCTCCTTAACCACAGACCAACACTGCTGGAAGAAAGCCATGGTGAAACCATTTGGACCCGATGCCTTGTCACCACTCATCACCTTTAAAGCCCCAAACACCTCCTCTGTGAAGGCCCACTCCAACCCTTCCCTCTCCCCTTCAGAGAGATCATCAAACGGGACCCCATCCAACCCCGGCCTCTATATCCCATCTTGAACCTAAAAAAGCCGCTAATAAAAACCTACAATGCCTCATCTAATCTCCTCATCAGTAGTCAAATCTCTCTCATCCACCCGCATTCACACAATTTGATTGACCCGTTAGTGGCCATTCGCCATCCTTTAAAAAAACTTAGTGTTCCGATCCCCATCCTTCGACTATAAACACAGAGATTTATGTCTGAAGCATATCTCTTCCATACAAGCCAAACGAACATAGTCCTGCCTTGCCGCCTCCCTTTTAACCACATCCGCTTCTGAAAGCCCCCCAGAAGCCTCCTACACATCCAAGGACTGAAGGATAGTCACCACTTCCGCTTTCTGAGCCTCCACCCGACCAAAAACCTCCTTATTCCACGTTTTCAAATCCCCTTTGAGTAATTTTAACATACAGCTGGGAGTTCCATTAACCATATAGTTACTCCACCATCCACAAACCTTATCTAAAAAGCCCTCCAATTGCAACCACATTCTCAAATCGAAAAGGCATCGGCCCACTCTAAAACCCCCCACTATCAAGCATAATAGGCCAGTGATCTAACATTGGACGAGCTAACCGACTTTGCACTACCTCTGAAAAATGCTCCTCCCAACCACTAGTAGCCAGAAATCTATCAATTTGAGACATCTATGGGCTATTAGACCAGGTGAACTCCCCCCATGAGGAGGCAAATCAACCAGGTTCATCTCATCAATAAATGAACAGAACGCCCGCATCGATCCCTTCGCCCTGCTACTCCCTATCCTCTCTACCAGCCATCTAACCATATTAAAATTGCCCCCCACAAACCATGGCTCTGACCACCGATGCGCAACATCCTCCAGCTCGTCCAAAAAACACCCCTTTCGGAACTTCGAACCGGCCCATACGCCCCAGAAAATACCCATCTAAAATTGTCTTTCACACACCGAAATAAACAAGACACCGAAAAAGCTCCTAACTCCTCATCCTCCTCCACCACCACTCTCTTATCCCAACAAAGAAGAACCCCTCTTGCCGTACCCACAACTAGTATGTCCATTCCACAAACCGACCACCCCAGACCTCTCTCACCACATCTCCACCCAGCTCCTCCATTTTCGTTTCCTACAAGCACACCAAATCTGCTCTCTGAAACATAGATCTAACTGCGAGTCACTTGTCCCTCTCATTCAAACCATGCACATTCCATGATAACACTTTTAACTTCATTTTAATAACAGAGGACCTCCTCGCCCTTTCATTGGGCCCCGCCCAATCGTCTCCCCTCCATGGTCATAGTTGACAGAGCACTCCAAATTTCTAAGCTCTCGTAGCCTTTTACGTTGCACTACTGCTGAAGTACTACCCCCATTCACTGGCTCCCCTTGCCTCAATAAAGCTTCCACTGCTGTAAGTAAACATAAAGCCTCAGTTTCATGACCTTTAAAAGATACACCCAACAAACGACTTACCTTGTTGATCCGACTTAGCACCCACTCCGAAACATCTTCTTCCGAAGGAGCCTTTGTTCCACTCAGATCATCTCTACGATCGATCCCACCTTGAAGCAGATAAGGAATCCTCGCCAGGGCTAGCGGTGGTCAAATTGGCTAGAGGGTGGACCACAAAAGACAACTCCCTCTCGATGTGCCCAGGAACTGGTTCGTTCCTCTCAACCATTTGTGTCACATCATACGCTGCATCTTTTTGTACCCAGATCTGTCCCGTATCCATATCTGTATCAAAAGGCTAGTCGGAAGCGTCATCGTCCTCCGACATGTACCGCGAGACTCCTTCCTCCGCCTCGCAACCACGTTCAGACGTCGACAGTGCATCCTTCTTGCCTCCCTCTGTAAGACTTGAGGTCGAGATCCGACCTACCTGGTTTGGATCCACAGCCAAAAACAGATTATTAAACACTTGGGACACTGGGGTAGTTAGCCCCAAATGGCCGTCTACACCCTTCATAAGACGGCCCAACTCCGCTAAGCCTATCGCTTGTGCCCCATCATTACTATAGCCCGCTTCGTTTTTTCCTTGTATCTAGGTGAAACCCCCATCCTTGGGCCCGCTAGAACCTGGCTAATTTCTCTGCTAAAATTTCCCATGTCACGGCCCAAAGAAGGACCAGCCTAGTGTGGTGCCGTAGATTGTTGGGCCCACGGCCCATTCCCTTTAGGTTGCCATATCTTCTGTGAACCAAACCATCTCTCTGAAATCTGTAACTTCTTCTTCCCCAAATCACGGCAATCATCTCACACTTCAAATCGTACCAAACCACGACTTTCCTAAGCCATCTCACGACGATTTCGCTGCTTCGACGTGCCACAGTTCTCCACCATCGGTCCCTCCTCTGACCAAATCAGCAAAGTATACCTCCAATAGCCACATCGAATGGTGATTCTCGCCGGAGCACCCCTACCTAAACCACGAACCTTGATTCGAACACATCCCAAAGGCCCCTCCATCGTCATCGCGTCATCAACACCCAGAAAACCCCCACATCGATCACCGATCACACGAAACACCTGGTCTTTGCGAAGGTAAAGCGGGAGTCCCAACACCTGTACCCATAAACTCTGTTTTCGTGATTGATTACTTCCCCTAGCGCAACGCTTCCGGTAACCACCAATCAAGGCTCAAACCACGACCGTCAACCATGGGTACAAGTGTTGGGACTCCCGCTTTTTGACGACTTTGCAAAGCAAAAACCTCTTTTTGTTTTTTCATGGACATTTTCTCAAAACCTTTATCATGCAAAAGTCAGCATGGATGGATGGATGGATGGATGGATGACATAGAAGCAAGGGCCAAAAAAGCCCAATCAACCAAGAAATGCTACAGAAGTCAACTCCTTGTAATCATTCAAATCTCACCAGAACTATATTGGATAAGAAAATTACACAAAAAACCACAGATCAACCTAGGGGGAAAAACTATATAGAGTCAGAATGAATATGAAAACTAGTCCCACATTCATTATGTCAGCCTAACCATGTGTTGAAACAAATGCATGCCGAAAGCAAAAATAACTTGTTTCACATAAAAAAATTGACTCAAGTATCAGAATGCACTCCAATAGAAGCTTCACACTAATGAAAGTTACATAGCTACTAATCATTTTACCCTTCCAGAAATCTGATGAGTCACCAACAAGAAAACGAAAGAATATACTTGACAAAAAAGGAAGTGCAAGACAATAGGTCTCCTGCTCTTAAGCATTTTGAGGACAAGGAAACTTACCCCCTCAAGCAGCAATAAGAAAAACAATCAACAAGTAATCTTACCTAGAAGTATTATTATTACACACAAATGCAGATACAGATGAAGGAAAACAAGGTGTAATGAGCATAGCATGCCAGTGAGGCTGTCATACCATCTTATCTGTGTTGTATCGAGCAGCATAACCAATACCAGACTTCCGATGCTGACCGGCCCAGAAAACTTCACCGCCCAAAGACAAATGTGGGGTCACACTCTGCAGCCAAAAAGATAATTTTAGTAAAAGATGGCACTAAATCCATATAAAATATGGCATTGATTTTGCCTTCTGAGAGAGATTTTAATCATTGATCTGCCTCCCCCTCAACATTTGATGCTAGGTACTCTCTCTCAACATTTCATTAATCATTGATATGTTTTGCTACATGCTATCTACGCCTACAATTACCTTTTTTTTAAAAAAATCTTTTATGTGGTACTGATTTGATGCTAGGTATTGTGTTTTCTTCATATATGAATGAGCACAACTTTTAGAGTTTTGTGTGTGTGTGTGTGTGTGTGTGTGTGTGACAGAGAGAGAGAGAGAGAGAGCCAGATTCTTTTACCTGTATGTAACTGGCTCCAAGTAATGCACCATTCCCTAGTTGAAGTTGAGTCCTATAGTCTTTACCCTGTATGTATGAACATGAATCAAGACTATGAACAGCATGGAAAGTGAATGAACCAAAGTACGGCTCAAATTAACAATACATATCATATGAATGTTAAAAAGTACACAAAATTGACCTTGTAATCAAAATTGACCATGCCATGCGACATATGTGGCTCGTTTGTAAGCTGGAAAAAACAAAACACAAAATAGTTACTTCACTAGCTTACTGAGTACAGAATATCCCTTTAGTGCACAAACACACAAAAGTAAGGGAGAAGTACAACAGGTGATAATTAACATATTTACTTGAGCATTGGCCTTCAGAGTAAGATTTTCAGACAAATCACACTTCACTCGTGCATTCAGCCTGCCATCTGTCAATATTCTCCCAAAAAGCATCAACTGTGAACAAAATCAAATGCTCTTCTGGTTAGTTATGCATTCATAAGAATGCATCAATTCTGAGGCAATGGTTAGTAATTACATACCTTTGGGTCTATAAAGTTAGCCCCAAATTCATAGTGAGCAGTAGGAATCTTTATGGTTTCAGAAGACTGGGAGGGAATCTCAGTAGGTCCCATGAACACACTGATATGCGGTGGAATAAGCCATAGAAAACAAAGTTAATAAGCATGGAGTAGAAATATAAATTACATGAGAAACCAAACAAAAATAAGCCTTGTGTCCCAATCAGGTGAGATCAACAACATGAATCATTTTAAAAAATTGCATGAGAGAGTTTTAAGAAACAAAACAAAATAGTATGAAAATGCAAAGCCACCTGTGACTGAGTGAGAATTTCTGATTGAGTCCTTTGGTAAAATCAAAGCGCATCCCCTCAAATAGTTCTGGCTTTAAAGACACTGCAAAACCGCTTTTAATATAATCAACATCCAAATATAATGAAAGACAACCCCACTCCTATGCATAATTGTTCCTCTCATAAATTTTACCATAGCACTCCCCTAGTCAGATGTATCAAATAAAAAATTCACCAATTCTGTCCAAGTGATGCCACCTGATTTAATAACACAAAGTACAAACAAAGAGTCCGGTGAAGGATTTGCAACATTTCAAATAGCTATGCGATGGGCAAGAAAGTTTTTGAAAATCAAAGGAAGAACAGTTCTCTCACAATACGCAATTGCAATCTCGAATTCTAATCATCTGAGGAGTTGCCATAAACCATGGCTACTTTTCGCATGTCATCTTGCAAGTACAGTTTTTGGATTTTGAAAGCAAATACCATATCAACTTTCACTCTCCATTATATCCAAATACTTCCAAACAAAAGCTCTGCCCCGACCGTCATGCTTACAAGCTTCTCAATTCGAATTAAAACCCATTCCCCTCACTTTGAACAAGGCAATTGGACTGAGGGGTTGAGAGGAAAAGAGCAGGATTCGGAAGAAAAGATAAAGGCCTTGTTTGGTTTGTGTTTCTCAAAAAATTTTGAGAAAAATTCTCTACAAATAAGTTTTCAAAAGTAGTCAAACCAAACAAATTTTTCCAAAACTTGTTTGGTTTACAAGTTTTCCAAACAAATCTCTCTCTCACACACATTAAATCAATCATTTTTTCCAAAACTCTCTCTCAAAGTAATTTTTCAAAACATCTTTTGAAAAAAAACCAAACCAAACAAATTTTCGTACTTTTTATCTCAAAACATGTTTCTCAAATACAAACCAAACAAGCCTAAAATGTCCATCTTGTTTGGTTTATTTATGAGGGAACGAGAATTGTCCACATGGGTTGTGAGGGGAGAGAGAACGCACATTTTAATACCTTTTCTTCCCCTCCAAAATTGGGAGGAAACAGGAGGGAAGTGAAGTGCTTGTCAATTATACCCATTTAAGGCCTCGTTTGGCAACATTAAGGCCAAGATTGGCTAACCTAAAAAAGTGCACTTATTTCATCTTTTTATCTTTTTTGGGTCACATCAATCAACATCTCCTCTCTACTTTTTCTACATATAATACAAAAAAAGTCAAAAAGTGCACTTATTTAGTCTTCTCAAACTTGGCTTAAATTTTAGCCTAAAGGTCAAAAAGTCATTAAAAAATCCAAAAATCTAAAAATTCAACAAACTATACAAAAAGGTCAAAGATTTCCTTTTATTTATACTTTTTGCACATCTTTTCATAAAAAATTAAAAAGTCATTCCAAACATACTATTTTTTTTTACCTCAAATTGTAGCCAAAAAACCAAGAAGTTGCTCAAATAGCATGTTCCCAAACGAGGCCTAAAACTATATTCATGCATACCCCTCTCTCATGCAATATTCATGCACTAATTCAAGAATGGTGATGGAAAGATAGAGAACACCATCATATTTTTAGCTAGTCTGACTACAACATCAAAAACTACATATATACACGAGAATTTCCTTCGGTTATGCAGTGTCTATTGCTCGTTTGGAAACTTGGCTATTTTAGTTGACTTTTTGGCTATTTTAACCCAACTAAAAACGTTGTGTTTGGATGACAGTTGGCTTTTTTTTTAGTTGATTTGATGGTTGTGAGAAAAAAAGTGAAATGATTATGGCTTGAACGTGATATTTTGTCTTACTGGCTATTTTAACTTATTTTGTCTTTATTAGCTATTTTAGCCAAAAAAAACCACCAATCCAACTTCCCAAACAACCCCCTAGTCATTTCAAATACCATCATTGTTGAACTTTAAATAATATAAAATTATGAATAACAGACATCAATTATATATTTTTGTTTATTGTGATTGTTATTACATCTATATTTTGTAATCTTACATCTATTAGTGAACGACGTAATACTAACACCATGTGTACAAAATTGTGTAATAGATGAAACAGTTATAATGGTAAAACAAATTACACACCTTCCTTCCCTTTCAACAGCTTCTAAATACAAACACCTAATTTCTCTCAACACCCACTACATGAATTATCAATGTTGTACTTTACGGAGAAAAGTATGTAGGTGTAGACAAACAAAATTGGTCAGTGTATTTAGAAGCTTCCTTGTCCCTTCCCTTCCCTTTATCAACTATTGCCAAACCAAACAAGATGACAGAACTGTCATTGGAAACATACCTCCTTTCCCTTCCCTTATCCTTTCTTCCCTTCACTATGTTTGCATATGCATTATACTAGCTATTGTTGCCACACGCGATGCGTGAGTCAATACTACCCATGCTACAAACAGAAAAGTGAGGAGTAGTTACCTGAGAATCGAGGCAGCTATTTGATCAGTATAAGGGTAATTTAGGCAAGTAAAATACGTTACATACCTTCGTTTACACCAACTGATGTGGTTACATTATAATATAGATAGATATATGTCTGCATGGGCCTTGATCTTTTAATCAAAACTTCAGTTTTCAGATCAAAGATTACAACTTTTGATTTCCACAATAACAGATGCACCGCAGTAGAGTGAATTACGGTACTAGGGTTTCAGAATTAGGGCTTAACACAAAAACAAATTGTTAAAACATGCAAAAAAAATTATAACGTTTCGATTTCAACTAAACGCCATCAAAATACAGTGAAATTAATCAGTAAGAATGAACCAAAAACAGAGAAACACGAGATTGAATGGATGATACTAACTGAGAGCTTCGCGATGGATTTCTTCGTAGGGAATAGGGCAAGGCAAGTTCAAGTAATCGACTTTCTCCGGCGGAACCACGGTTGGCTTCGAGGGCGGTGGAGCGGTGGCCGTAGGAGGGACGAGGGTGGCCATTGCTCCGGTTCTGGATGGAACAGCAGAGATTGAAGTTCGAAGATGAAGAGTAGTAAGAGAGATAGAGCGAGAGGAAGAAGAAGGTTCTTCTTTGACTGCGGCTATATAAGACGCGAAGGAGAGGTTACTGGTTTTTGTGAGTACGATGAAAAAAGAGAAGCAAAAACCCTCCCCTCGCCAAATATCGAAACCCCTCCTAGCCTAGGGCCTGTCTGGTTTAAGCCCAACCCGTTTTTATCATAAGCCTGCCTTGTAAAACTGTACAATTTTGGGAAGGTTGTTATTTTATTTGCTTATTTGAATTTTTTTATTATTTTAATTTTGGCTTATTTTGGAAAGTGGGTTATAATTCTTAGATTATAACCCACTTCCTCTCTTACAAAAAAAACTGCTAATAAGCACCTTTTTATCAAAAAGTTGATTATAACCATCTTCCCAAAATAGTCCTTTGTTAACATAGTTGTGCTTAGGAATTTGATTTTTTTAAATTGATTCGATAGTTATGAAAAAATATATATATAATTATGAATTGAATGTAACTGTTGGACCAATCTTCTGTGTAAATAAAATAACTTTAAATAAAACCAAACAAAATAAATAAATAACGTACCGGATTTATTTATCGAATCGAATTAAAATTAAGACCAAGTCGAGTGTGTGACACTCTATCCTTAAGACAGATTCGCCCCGCTACGGTGCTTACGGTTGAGTGGCGTCTATCTCCCAGGATACAATGATCTTCACAAATTTGTAGAAGCACTTCAAACAAATTTGTCCGGCGAACTAGAACCTTGTGTTCTATAACTCTCTGAAATTTATTCCTAATATTTTATATGAAGAATAATGCACTAAAAGAAAATGGACAGCAAAGAGACAAGAATTTCAGACTTTATATAGGCTTTGTTGGCACCTATTCAATTTGAATAGAAAATGTATGAAGAAGGGACATACCTCTTCCTTTAAAATAAAGAGACACCATGAAAGATTTGCACCCTTTCATTCAAATGGAGTCTATTTCAATTCACAACAACCTCTTTATAAATTTTTCAACAATCCCCCACATGAATGAAATTGACAAAGAGAAAATGCAACAACATGATGTAAATACAGAGAGTACAGAAATTGGAAATATTCTGCAAAGCATAGGTAGCTTTTGGCTTTGAACCTTCCCTTGTGAGATATTATCGGATTTACTAGCTAACTAGTGAACATGATATCTTGAACTGTTCAGCCGTTTGTGTAAACCAAGACAATAGAACTCACACAATATATCTCCAGACACAGTTTAGTTCTCACTATTGTGTTCATTTTGGCCCTGAACAACCTGGTCTTTCACGAGTGCTCTAAAAACTTGTAGCCCTTCACAAATCTTATAGAACCGGCCCAGTTCATACTCACATAGGTGATTCTTATAAAAGTATCATGCCATACTCCACTAGGTTTACCTAGAGATAAGAATCATTAAAAGTATTACTTAACCTAAACCGTTGCAAACATCGCTATTTCATCAAAAAAATGGGTAGGAGATAAACTCCCCAGTGATCCTTCTGAGTCATTCACAACTCGGTTGTCCCTTTGAACCTAGATCTTGGGATCTCCAGTCAACTAGGTTGGGTTGCCATTGTGGTAACTCTTATTTAATAGGCTTTAATCCCATTCCTCTCGATGAATTCTCAACTAACTCTCTTGCTAACCCTTTGGTTAGTGGATCCGCTATGTTGTCTTTAGACTTAACATATTCTGTGGAAATAATTCCATTAGAGAGTAGTTGTCTCACGGTGTTATGTCGACGACGAATGTGTCGTGACTTACCGTTATACATATGACTCTGTGCTCTACCTATAGCTGATTAACTATCACAATGTATGCATATAGCAGACACCGGTTTTGGCCATATTGGAATATCTTCAAGGAAGTGGCGAAGCCATTCTGCCTCTTCCCCTGCTTTGTCTAAAGCTATGAATTCAGATTCCATAGTAGACCTAGCAATACAAGTCTGTTTGGAAGATTTCCAAGATACAGCCGCCCCACCAAGAGTAAAGACATACAGCCGCCCCACTGAGAGTAAAGACATACCCACTAGTGGACTTTGAGTCTCTTGTATCCGATATCCAATTTGCATACAGTATCCTTCAAGTGCTGCTGGATATCTAGTATAATTAAGCCCAATGTTACGAGTAAATCGGAGATATCTAAGAACCCTTATAATTGCTTTCCAGTGTTCTACTCCCAGATTACTCGTATATCTACTTAATTTACTTACTGCATAAGCTATATCTGGGCGAGTGCAGTTCATCAAGTACATTAAGCTTCCAATAATTTGGGCATACTCTAATTGAGAAATACTTTCCTGTACATTCTTGGAAATATACAAATTAACATCTACAGGTGTTCTAGCAAGATGATCATCATCTTTGCTGAATTTGTCAAGTATTTTCTCAATGTAATGAAATTGTGACAAAGCATAACCTTCTGATGTTTTGGTAATTTTCATACCAAGAATTACATCAGCAATGCCCATGTCCTTCATGTCAAAATATTTATTCAACATTTTCTTGGTAGTTTTAATCATGTCATTATTACTACTAATGATGAGCATATCATCTACATAAAGACATACAATGACATAACATTTATCTGTGTTTTTAATATAAACACATTTGTCACACTCATTAATTTTAAATTCATTTGACATCATTGCCTTGTCAAATTTCTCATGCCATTGCTTTGGCGCTTGTTTTAAAATATATAATGATTTAACCAATTTACACACATTCTTTTCTTTTCCTGGAACAGAAAACCCTTCTGGTTGTTCCATGTAA